TGTTTATACCAGTTAGCCTATGGTAAAATTGGGTTTGTTGTATATCATGTTTGCTTAAAGTCACAGAATTCCTCAAAGGCATTAAGTGAGGACTTACTTACACAACAAATAGTAAACAGATCTGTATAGATCTGGCATGTGGTAACAGTGGGGCTCTAGTCCATCTCTGTTTTGTGTATTGGATATCACACTTCTACGAGGCCTCAATATATTTGTATTCAGTGCACCTTGAGAACTGTATGTTTCTTAAGAATGGGGGTCATATCTTAAAATCTTAATTTTCTCAATGTGTACTGAGCATACACATCATGTATGCTCAACAATTGTTCATTGAGTGGAATTGTATTTAGTCTTAAGAAGCTTTGGTATTCCTGTTTTAGCACTTCTTACAATATGTGTGATATGGGAATGTATAAAATTCATTCATCTCAGATTTTAACATGCTGTTAGGTTTAATAAAATTACAAATGTGGCAAAGAGCATAAACAATTTAGGGAAAACATAAGATTACAATGAAAGAGCACTAAAATATAGAATAATTTGCATGTGTTATTCATGAAAAACCTCTTTTCAGGAGATAAAAAATACATATCAGAATGAAATTGTGTTATCATTCAGTCAGGAGGCTACAATGGCATTGGAGAAAACAGAAGGACAGTGAAATTAACTAATGGCTGTCAGAGGGAGGGAAACATGTAAAGCATTCAGAGTCAAAGAAACTAAAACTTTAAATACCACGTTTGAATTTGAGTGGGTCACTCTCTTGTCTTCATTTCCCTGTGCTGCCAGGAAGGCTACGTGCCCAGAACAGTACAATATGCAGCATTAATTTGATTTTTCTGGCCACCATAGAAACCTACCAGCTGTCACCACAGAACCATTAGGTTCAGAAAAAGCATGGATTTGAAGAAAAACAGATTTTTCAAAACTGGGAAATTCCATCCACTTTATTGGCCCTCCATGTGCACAAAACTGCAGGCCTGTCCCTCTTCCAGTCACAAGGTGGAGAGGAGACCGTAAGTGATGGCTGGAGACCGAGCTGGAAGAACAGAAACCCTTCCCACACAGCGGGCGGGGCCCCAGCTCTCAGGAGCAGTGAACATTCCTGGGGTGGTTACATAGCTGAGGAAATATTACTGGTCAGGAAGAGCAGAAAAATTATTTGGTAAAACTCTTTTTTAGGAAGAGAAATTAGTGAATTGAAAAACATAAATTGATAAACTGATGGTGGGTCGAGTGAGACCACCAAGCAAGTTCACATAATGAGTTATCTGTGGAACCCCCAGAAAATGATGGAGCTATTCTTTTTTGTTTCATTGAGAATACACAAAATTATGGTGAGGAAGGAATTACTGTTCATACTTCTTGGCTCTTTACCACTTAATAAGCAACTACTCCTCTAAAAAATGTGGGAAAATATTTAAAGAATATTGTGTCAGTATAATCATTTGAAAAGTCACTAAATTTTTATGAATGACTTAAATGGAAGTATTCTTAGTTATTCTTTCTACCTTATCCTTTCCTCCAAGGCCTTTGCCAAGGAATGTGGCAGGATTTCTTGTCTTAAGGGTCTGCAGGCAGAATGTAGATCTCATGCTCCTAGTAATGAGAGACCTCTTAAATGTCTTTCCTAAACCGCCACAATGGTTCTTACGACACCATGATTTAAATTTCTCAGTTAAAGGTTGAAATATTGCTTCATGTATGCTAACAACCTTTCACATGTTTTAATTTTACTAAATTATGTTGTAGTCATGGGGTGTTCTCTATTAAAAGCAAGGTTACATCCAAACCCAGATGGCACAGTCCTTTCATTTGAAGACATCCTGAATACCATTGAATGAGGCAAATGATCTTACCTTCTTGGGTTGAAAACTAGAAAACCCATGAAGTAGATATAAGCCTGCAATAGTTCATTGAGTTGACCAGGGAACTTTCAGAGACTAATTTGGGTGTGTATCTATGCTGGTTCTAGCATCTAAAAATCAGCATGTATTATCATATTGGCACATGTGAAGCAGAGACTTTCACAGACCACAACTGTGCAACATGTGCCCCTAAATTTTATTTGTCTTTTAAGTACTACCTAACAGAATTTCTTTCACCCTGAGCCTTTAGACTTTATTATCAGAAGCTTGTTTTCTTCTCTTTGAAGTTTTTTTTTTCTTCTCCATTTGCTGCACTTCAATAATGTGAAGGTCTTCACTCTAGGGAAGCAGTGAAGCAAAGAAAAGCTTCAGGGAGCCCTGCTGAGAGAATTAAAACATCACATTAATTCATCCTTCTCTTTCTGCCCTTCCTCTATCAATTCAACAAAGTTATAAAAACACAAAGAATTAATATGAAAACACACACATACAGGCAATTTGAATTTTGTTTTATATTTTTACACATGAAGAACAAAAACTCCATAAAGCTGCTAATGTTTTCTAACCTCATCAAATCCTCTTCTCTGAGTCATTAAATTGCTGAAGCCCAGAAAATCAAATTTGGTTTAGGGCTGTTTGATAATGTAGTAACACCATAAAATGTGACTCACCAATTAGCTCATGTAATTAGAAAATCAAAAACATGCTCTAAGTGGCTGATGGACACACATAAATGAAATCTATTCTTTGTATTTGCTGATTATAGTTATAATTACACCTTCAGTTGATGTTACTACTTCCCCATTCCCTGTGGAAGAGAAGTACTTAGTTCATTCACTTTTTTTTCTTCATCAATTCTTTCTTGCAAGGCTATGAGGCTATCTATTCCTTGCCTCCACAGAACTCTCAATCTGCAAAAACTATGCTTAAATTCTTCTAAAGAGGGGAAAGTCAGCTTAAGTTACAACTCTACAAAAATGACAGTTTGGTAGTTGAAAATTAGTCTCTCACCCTGGCTGATGTAGCTCAGTGGATTGAGTGGGGGCCTGTGAAGCAAAGGGTCACCAGTTTGATTCTCGGTCAGAGCACATGCCTGGGTTGCAGGCCAGGTCCCCAGTAAGGGATGCATGAGAGGTAGCCACACATTGATGTTTCTCTCCCACTCTTTCTCCTTTCCTTCCCCTCTCTCTAAAAATAAATAAATAAAATATTTTTCTAAATATTAGTCTCTCTTGCTGATTCCTAAGTGCCATTGATGTGGCTGAGATACATATAACAAAAGAGAAACTAGCAATTTGAGATTTTTTTTTTTGCTCAGGATTTTTGCCTGACTCAGAAGGACTCAGTGATAGATAAGAATGGAAATTGAATATTTGTTGGATTATTTTGAAGAAGTTCTTTATATATTCTGTATGCACATTTGTTAAAATCTAAGGCATATGTTATATGTTGTCTGGCTGGCTATATTTAAAATGCATTTCTTCCTGTAAGTTCAGATCAGTTCAAGGGCTGGTTGGATGGTCAAAACAGTGTCTCACTAAGAATTTCAGCCATGTCCTACCTTGCACTTTTACTATTGCAACTGAAGTACATAGGCATGGTTACATGGTCCAGGGCTTGCTAATAAATATAACAAGGGGATAAAAGGGATGAATACCTGAGTTTGAGCTATAAAGCAACGGCATTTCTTGTCTGACATGCTCATTCTTAATGATACTTTACATAAAAAATTGAATGCAGTGTGCTGCCCTTAAAACTGTTTTTTAAGGTCATATTTTAGTGTTCGTTCATAAAAGTTATAAAATATATTAGGAAATTTTTCCCTTCTAACTGTAACATTGCTGCTAAATGGTTTATTCTTTGCAAATTCATAATATATATTTTGTATTGTTCTTTCTTCCCCAAATATAAAGTTCTCTTTTTTAATATATTTTATTGATTGCACTACTACAGTTGTCCCATTTTTTTCTCCCTTTAATTCCCCCACCCCTTAGTTCATGTCCATGGGTCATACATATAAATTGTTTGGCTTCTCCATTCCCTATGCTGTTTTTAACCTGCTCCTGTCTATTTTTGCCTACCAATTGTGCTTCTTATTCCCTATACCTTTTCCTCAATTATCCCCCTTCTCCCCCATCAATACCCCTCCATGTGATCTCCATTTCTGTGAATTTCTTTCTGTTCTAGTTGTTTGCTTAGTTTGTTTTTGTTATTTTAGGTTCAGTTATTGGTAGTTGTGAGTTTGTTGTCATTTTACTGTTCATATTTTTTATCTTCTTTTTCTCAGATAAGTCTCTTTAACATTTCATATAATAAAGACTTGGTGATGATGAACTCCTTTAATTTGACCTTATCTGGGAAGCACTTTACTTGCCTTCCCATTCTAAATAATAGTTTTGCTGGATAGAGTAATCTTGGATGTAGGTCCTTGCCTTTCATGACTTGGAATACTTCTTTCCAGTCCCTCCTTGCCTGTAAGATTTCTTTTGAGAAAGCAGCTGGTGGTCTTAGAGAACTCCTTTTGTAGGTAACTCTGTCCTTTTCTCTTCCTGCTTTTAAGATTCTCTTCTTCTCTTGACTCTTGGGTAACTTAATTAGGATGTATCTTGGTGTGTGCTTCCTTGGTTCAACTTCTTTGGGACTCTCTGAGCTTCCTGGAAGTCTATTTCCTTTGCCAGATTTGGGATGTTCTCCTTCATTATTTTTTTAAATAAGTTTTCAATGTATTGCTCTTCTTCTTCTCCTTCTGGCACATCTATGATTCAGATGTTGGAATGTTTAAAGTTGTCCTGGAGGTTCCTAAGCCGTCCTTGTTTTTTTGAATTCTTGTTTCTTCATTCTGTTCTGGTTGAATGTTTATTTCTTCATTCTTGACTCCTAATATAAAATTCTAAGAGATGCAAAAGTTGTGTTGTTCTTGTTGTTGTTACTGTTGTTTTGGTAGAGTCTTACTCATATATTTTAGAATAGTTTGGATTATGTTGTATTTGGATAAATACATACACTAACAAAAATCGAGAAAGTATTGTTTATTTATAGCTAGAATAAGACTTATCCCCAGATGTTATTTAAAATGAAGCCATCTTCACTGAAATGTCTTTAATCACTCTCTCTTTTTTGTTGTATTTACAGGTCAATGGGACAGAAATTGAATATGAGTTTGAAGAAATTACTTTGGAGAGGGTAAGCAACATCTAATAATCCAAAGCCCTAATCTTGCTTTCCACATTTACATCCTAATTGTGAAATTGCACAATTGTTTATTATATCCTGGAAGTTTCCAACAGGAGTCACAGTGAGAATATTAACATAATTCTTACAGTGGAAGGCATGGAGACAAACAGAGCAAATAATCAGAACATTTAGTATATAGATTGCATTGCCAGGATTTGGACAAATGAATGGGAAAGACAAATAAATGTTCAGTGAGCTAATGCAGTAATTTTTCCTATTGTTTTCATTATGAATATTTAACCATACATTTTAGAATATATTATAAAATATTTTCATTTATGTGATGTTAATACTATCTTTATAACTGATATTTACCACACATTTTTAAGTTAAAAAAAAGTGATGGGTTTTTAATGCATTCCTATAGAGAAAAACATAACAGCCCTGCAGGTCTCTGAAAATATGCTGCTAGGGCCTTGCCAAGGCTTTGACAAATTAGGGAAGTTCTGTGCAACACAACCTTGGTACATAGAGATATTTCACAAAAGCAGTAAGAGAAAGGCCAAAGATTGCCTACAAAAAAATGACCAAACTCATTAACACAATGTTCATCCATTTTTTTAACCCCAAAATTTTATTTATTGAAACATAGAAATACACAAAGAATATTCATATTGGTATAGTTTATAGTAGTAAAGAATTAGAGACAAGTATTTAATAATATATTATTATATCTTCATATAGTAGAAAGTCATATTAAATTATATTATAATAGTACTTCTAAATATTTAATTATAAGAATAGAGATGTAAGTAGGCTATGTTATTAAATTAAAATCAAGTTTTAAATTTTTATTTAAAATATATTCCAATAAATACAAACAAAGGTATACATGCAAAATATATATTTATAAATATATACATAAAGCCTAGAAGTGTATACACCAAAATGTTAATAGTGGTTAACTCTTGTGGAGGATTTTTGGGTGATTTTTCTGTTTCATCTTTTTACTTATATTTGTTTCCTAAACTCTCCATGACAAACATATATAACATTTATAATAAGAACTAAAAATTAAAGTGTATTTCTTAAGCTATTATTCCAGTATGAATTTACCCTCTAGACCAACACTTAAATTTATTTTTTCTTTTGATTTTTCGCTTCCCTGAGTCATGAAATTTATCATTCTCAGCCTAATTTTTATTAAGTGTGAGTGGTTTTAAAAGGAAATTTACATTGAAAGTTAAGTGTCTGACAGATGGGCACTTTAAAACTGCCATTATGAACTCTGATAAAACTTTCATGGCATGCTAAGTGGAGAAAAGTGAAGCTTATGGAAAATTAGCCCAAATGAGAAGAAAGAACACATTTTTCCTTCTAAATTACTAATCTTCTCTCCAGAACTGACTATATAATTTGTGGAGCACAGTACAAAATGAAAATGTGGTGTGGTGGTTTAAAATACAGTAAGAATTAAAAGATGGCAACAGCACAGCCTTAAACCAAGTATGGGCCCTTCACACACAGGGCCCTGTGTGCACAGAGCTCCAACTCATGAGGCCAGCCCTTCTCTCTCCTCAGACTCCACACATAGAAACACCTTGAATACACCGTTATTTAGATACCCTGGTTTTAATAAGTCAAAAATATTAAGAAGCTATTGTTGGTGTGAACTACAACATGCAGTCAGAGTCTGAACAACTGTGTGTTCTAGTCTGGGTTCTGACACTTAATTGTTTCATGATCTAGCCTGACATCTCTCTCACCTCCCTCATCCTACACTGGGGTTTCCTGTTATACTCTAAACCTTGTCATTGCTGTTTGTAGCAGCTCTTTCCACAAACTTTTATGTTAAACATCATCTTCTTTTTGTATTTACCATTTGTTCTATTGCCCCCCACTCAAAAATTCTCCAACCATCTTGGGACATTGTGTCACTGATTCCATCATTTCTTTTCCATTTTCATCCTTCATTATGCCCTCCCTTCTCTGTAACTAACTGCCTATATCCCAGTTCTCCTTCTCATACACTCAACAATTTTCCTCTTCTCTCTCTCTCATTTTTTTCTTTAGTGTTCATGAACAAAACCTCATCTTTGGTTAAGCTACTATGATTAAACCAATGCCTTTCTGCTTACTCCAGGACAGCACTTGGTTAACTGAACCTGGCAGAAGCACTCACTCATGTCACTTTAAAATTATTACTATTTATTTCTAAAGGACCCTCAAAACACCCTAGCAATTTCTTTATTTCTTTAGGAAATTTCTACATTCCTTTAAAAAATTTATTTATCATTCTCTGGGAAAATAATCTCAAACATGTCTTTCCTCATCCTCAGGCTCAGCTGTGGACCTCTTTTCTTATGTCCTAGAGGAAATCCAAGCACTCAAATGATAACCACCTTACTTTCAATGTCTCTGGTTATATTTGCTTGCTTGTTTGTTTTGTTGATTAGGTTATATTTATAGGTGAGATCATATGGTATTTGTCTTTTGTCATCCGGATTATTTCACTTAGCATAATGCTCTTCAGTTCCATCCATGCTGTTGCAAAGGGCAGGAGCTCCTTCTTTATTTATGCAGCATAGTACTCCATTGTGTAAATGTACCATAGTTTTTTGATCCACTCATTTAGTGATAGGATCTTGAACAACAATAAAAAATGTTAATTTAAAAAAGATTTGCAGCAAAGGATGAAAGAAAAATTAAGAAAATTCTGTACTTTTATATGGCAAATAGTAAAGAAACCAAGTGTTAATAAAAAAAAGAAAACCACCTTACTTTCTTATCACCAGGTCTGCTAGTGGGTTCTCTCTGTTATAATGAAAGACTTTCCCTCCTCATTTTCAAGGTCAGCTCTTCACTCATGACCTAGAGTCTGTAATGAGAAGTTACAGACTTCTCATCCATTTAAGGATTTTGCTTCTGCAGTTTTCTCCTCTTTCTTCTGCAATATCAGTTTCTCTCTCACTGTTCCTTGATAAAACTTAATATAAACATGATGCAATATCTCACATCTTTAAAAAATACAGTCTTGCCTTAGCTGGTGTAGCTCAGTGGATTAAGCATGGACTTGCAAACCAAAGGATCGCGGTTCGATTCCCAGTCAGGGCACATGCCTGGGTTGCAGGCCAGTTCCTAGCAGGGGACCCAACAAGAGGCAACCATATATGACATTTTTCCCTCTCTCCTTCCATTCCTCTCTAAAGATAAATAAATAAAATCTATTAATAAATAAATAATAGTTTTTTGACCCAAAGTTTTCTTCCTATTACTGCCTTAATTACTCTATTTTGCTTTACCAAATAACTAGGAAAATTGTCTATTTTTGTTAACTCTATTTCCTCATTTACAAAGTTAACTTATTTCATCTTTGCATCCCCACAATCCTAAAACCATCCCTATCAAAATCACGAGAGATTCCATCTTGCTAAATACAAGTATCATTTCTCAGTTCTGATTTCTCAGCAGCATTTGATGCAGCAATTACTGCCTCCTTCCTCAAAGGTGTTCATTTCTTGGCTTCAAGAGCAAAACACTCTGCTGTTAATTGACCACCTCATCCATGCTCTTTTTCAGTCTTCTTGCTGGCTCCAGCTCTAAATGTGGGAGCACTCCAGAAATTCAGTGAACAGACCTCAATCTCTCTTCATTCCCTAGATGATCTCATCCAGACCCACAACTTTACATAGCAGCTACCAACTGGTGATTCCCAAATCTGAAATCATGGTCTCCCCTGCACTCCCAGTGTGGACAGCTAGCTGTCTGGTTGGCATCGCTGGTGTGTTCCCAAAAGAATTTTTTATTTTTCTGCACTCCTTACACTCAGGGCCAAAGCTGCTTCTAGCCTAATATTTTTCATCTTAACTAATTGGTTCTATCATTGTTCTCATTATTCAGGCCAAAAAAAAATCATCTAAGCATCTTGCTTAATTGCACATTTTCCCTCAGCAACCAGAGCAAACCCTGCTGGTACTACCATAAAAATATATTTCAAAATCAATTATATCTTGCCACCTGTTCTGTTGAATCCTGGTCCAAACCAATATCATCCCATGCCTGGACCACTGAAATAGCTTCCAGTTTTGCCCACTTTTCTCTTCAAAGTAGCTAGAGTAATCTTTTAAAAAATACAAACCAGAGCACACAATTTTTACCATTAAAACCCTCAAAGAGGCGATAATTACACTTGTCCTCATCACTGACAAAGACTTGCACAGTGTGACCCCTGCTTCTCTCTCCAACACTATGCCCTCACCACCAACGCCTTGAATATATTTCACTCTAGCTACATTGAATTTCTTATCACTTCTCAAAAAAGGCAAGCTTTCCCCGCCTCTAAGCCTTTCTATAGGTTATTCCATCTGCCTGGAAAAGTCTCTCCACAGGTCTTTTCATGACTTAGTCTCTTCAGTATTTAAATATCTGTTCATGTGTCTCCTTTTCAGAAAAATGTCCCCTTTGCACCCCATTTAAATTACCACTACCATCTCCACAATGTTTTTTTCCTTTCCATCATTTTATCTTTTAATTGCATTTATCAATATCTGAAAGGTATATTATCTATGTATTATTTACAGTGTTAACATCTATCCCCACATAGATATATGCTATATTGAAATATAGTCACTTCTACATTCAGCCTACTTCGAATAGTGTCTGGAGGAATGTGATAACACACTCAGTGAATATTTGGCTCATGAATGGATGATGCCTGTGTCCTGCCTCTGTAAGTACAGTGAAGTGGAGGCACATGGCCTGCTCTGAAACCCTGACTCTATCACGTACTGGTTGAGTTACTTCAAGCTGAATACTTCTTTCTGTGCCTCAGTTTCCGCATCTGTAAACAAGGCTAAAAACTTTGTAATGACCTCCTAGGGCCTTTGGGATGATTAAATGAGTTTATATAAACATTTAGAACAGCATACCTAGCTGTTATTAACATTTTATTTGTTTTAACATGGGGTTTTCACAGTGTTATTTGTCAGAATTATTGAGGAAGCTTATTA